TCATGACAGCTGACTCGAAAGTGGTGTAACCTTTGGCCTACTAGCGTCCGTGCTCCTAGTAGTAAGGCCAGGAGCCCCTAGTAGCGTCCTTGCTCCTAGTAGCGATGCCCTTTGCTCCTAGTAGCGTCCGATCGCTCGGTTCTAAAGCGCCTTTTGGCCGACCAAACGTCAGCACGAATCGACGAGACCTACTGGTTCTACGAGCGCTTTGCCGCTTATCGACGAAGCTGGTCTAGCCCTGGTCTTGCTTGGTGAGAAGCTCCTGGTCTTCAGGTCTCACCTCCAAGCCATGTGCAAAAGGATCCAGCAAGGTGCACACAACCGCGCGGACCAATTTACGAAGCTCTGAGACATCTCCCTTATCACTGCGCATCTCGGAATAGAACTTGATTTTGGGCTCTGTGCCGGATGAGCGCAAAGTAACGTCTGCTTCCACTGCATCAAAGTAGTAGGTGATCATCTCCCCTCCCAAGTTTAGAGGAAGCTCTGGCACACCATCTGGTGTGCGGCTATCATAGCCAACTGTCAGGTCCCGAACGCCAGTCACCACAAAACCTCCCAAGCACTTTGGATAAGACTTCTGGTCGCCTCCCCTTTGCGCCTCAAACAGTTTTCTGGTCACAGATGGATCAGGAGACTTCACATAACTTTGCAGCAATAGTGGCCTCCCATACCTGGGCAAAGCACCATCGAGAAGAAAAGCCTCGAACAACTAAGGAACCATCACACCTCAAACTGCAGAATTGACTGGAATTGGGTTACAATTACAACATTAAGAAATATACTGTGCCCAGGTGCTCCAAATAGAGTTTGTGCAAGTGCTGGAAACATGTAGTGCCCTCATTGCGCAAAGCTTTCGCCATCTCAACAAAAACCGCCGCGGCTGCTACACCATCTTTGTCCTTCACCATATCACCCACGCAGAAGCCAATGGCCTCTTCATAGGAAAAGATCACTTCGAAGCCTTCGTTTCGAAGTTCAGCCGAACGTGAACCCATCCACTTGAAGCCCGTCAGAGTCTCCACAAAACGAAAGCCTTCCTTGGCAGCAAGGTGCTTGAGGAACTTCGAGGACACTGTCGAGGCGACCATACAAACTCTCGATACGTCCGCCTTCGGATTCTTGTCATTCCTAAGCTGCCAACAACGGAAGGCCCAATGACCCAGCAAGGCCCCCAGCTCATTGCCACTGAAGACATGCCATTCACCGCAATTCCGCTCTGCCACAGCCAGGCGGTCAGCATCTGGGTCATTTGCAATGACCAGGTTGCACTTGGCGGAATCTGCCTCTTGAAAAGCCAGCTGCAAAGCCCCCTTGCCTTCTTCGGGGTTGGGGAAAGCCACAGTTGGGAAACTCGGGTCAGGCTCACACTGCGCACCAACTAAGCGTAGCGATTCCCGTCCATGCCCGAATGCATCGAAGGCTTGCTGCACGAAAGGGCATCCAACACCATGCATGGCAGTATAGACCACAGGGAGCACTTCTACGTTGAGAGACTTCAAGCATTTGAGAGACTTCAAGCGCTCGAAGTAACTAGCAATCACTCCTTCCACCCCGGGGTCTTTGCACAAAGGATTTGTAGTTACTTCGGTTTGTTGCATCTCAGTCCAAGGTTCCAAGTTGTCATCGATCAAAGCGGCAACCTTTGCGTCATGTGGAGGTATGATTTGTGCCCCATTGCTCCAATAGAGCTTGTATCCGTTGTCTGCAGCTGGATTATGGGAGGCGGTGATCATAATACCCGCGCAGCAGCCACGCTGCTCTATGCACCAGGGGACAAAGGGTGTCGCAACCAAATCCCTGAAGAGCCACACCGTGAAACCTCTGCTTAGGAAGACCTTGGACACCTGCGTTGCAAAGCTTTTTGAAGAGCATCCTGCTCCAGCACGATGATCAAAACCCACACAAACGCCACGGCGCTTGGCCTCCGCCCCAAAGACAGACTCGAGGTATGCACACACACCCTGCGTGCTCTGCAAGACCACTAGATCATTCATGCAAGAACTGCCTATACCCATGGGCCCCCCGTAGTCCAGCAGTGCCGAATTCCAAGCGGTTCCCAAGTAGCTTTCGAATCCTCTGTATTTCTCCGTTCTTCACCACTCCTGGACCATCTAAACATATCAAATAAACAGATAATATATATATATAATATATATATATATATATCTAGTATATATATATATAGCCCTACGAGTATGCACGCAAACATGTAGAAAAAACTGGTGGTGGTCAGTCAGAGTCAAAACCAAAGATTTAAATATGCCTGGGTTTGTTCATATATGTTCATACCATTTCATATCCGTTCCAAGGTACGCAGGAGCTCTTCCTTTGTTGAAGGATTGGGATCCCAACATGCCCAGGTCTCAGCCCACGAACGCCAGCATTCATCCGAATCCGAGGACGCAGGTGGCTGCTTGCAGGTTCTGGGCTTCTTGGCTGACATGGCTCAGGAAATGGAGGCAAGAGGTTCAGCCTCTCTCTGCACAAGCCAAGCGATACATTGAGTTTGGGTTTTGGTTGGTTGCACCCATTGTGCTGACTGCGGCAACACGTCCTCCTTCTATGCAACAGTGTTACCAAGCTGGCGCTAGGATAAAGCCGCCGCCTGACCCGCAGCTCATCCATCTCTTCTTGAACAATCACGTACAGTAATGCTAAATGTCTGCAGGGGCATGCCCGAGTACCTCATGCTTGCAAAACTGCCCACTTGAGCCACAAACAATGCAAGATCTGCAGGGACTCAGCAGCCTCAACACCAGAAATCTCTCCCAAGAGTGCCTGTCGGTGTCTTCTTGGAGCATTGTGATCTTGCTTTCCAACTTCTTCTTGTCACCGCCTTCGATCAATTCTCCTCAGGCACCCAGCTGCACAAAACGAAGTCCAAACCAAACGTACATTGCTGCTTCTGCCATTCTGAGGCCGGCACCCCCCCCCAAAAAAAAAGGAAAAACACCACCACACTGCAAACAGGCATCGCACACGGCAATATCTGTTCAACTTGGCGCGCTCCCGCTCTACCATTCCAATCTCCTTGAATGGAGTGGTTGCAAGGTCACAGCCGCGTCACGCCACTATCGGGATAATCCAGAGAGAATTATAATAGATGAAACAAGTGGTTTACAGGCCCTACCAATTGGAGTCGGTCCTGCGCATTGACACGTTGAATGTCCCGGAGACGGCCCAGCTGCGCCAACATGCGCTTCACCTCCACGACAAGCAAACCATGCTAAAAGAGTTGCAGCAGCCGTGCAGAACTAATGAATGCCGCTTGCAACTGCAACTGCTGGCTCTTTACTGTCAAAACAGCCTGGGCCTGAAAATATGTCACTCCAAACGTCGTCAACATGAAGTTAGAGAGATGGTCAGATCATGTCTTGCCATACCCCGTTTCCCTCAAACCAGAACTCAAACAAAGCGACAGCAGCGCCAGGTAGCTTCCCACGCATTTCCACTATGTCCCACGGCCTGATTGATCTGCCCCTTCAAGTGCGTTCGAAGGTTGTCGGCTTCTCTGGTTGGCGTGTGTAGTACTACTTGAAGTTTCTCCTGGGTCTCTGACCTAAGACTCACGGCCGAAAACAGTGACAGGTGACAGGTCGGGACTTGAACAATAGGGGCGACTACAGCTACTGTCCATGTTTGTGTGGAGGGGCCTCAGCATCTCAGCATCTCTGGAGCAGCATCACATAAGACAAGAAGTGGCCAGCTTTGAGAAAAACTTAAGTGTTGTGCGTTCATATGTCCACAACCCTTACTTGTCACGCATGGCGGGCAAGAAAAGGTTTCAAGGAGGGCTCTAAAATTGGAAAATGCCGCGCCTAGCACGGCCAAGCTGCATATTTGTGCTGAGTTCTGCAATGTTAGCCTCATAGGAGCTAATCTTTGGCCATATCTTTGCTGACCTCAAATCGCCACCGCGCACAAATCTGAGTTTGACATTCCAAATACTAATACCAAGTGCATCAAGTGCATCGCTACTAGTAACAAGTGCATCGCTACTAGTAACAAGGGCATTACTACTAGTGACAAGTGCATCGCTACTAGTAACAAGGGCATTAGCACATAGCTACTAGTAGCTTCTTGTTACTACTGATTCACCCCTCGCGTGTCCAACTAAACACCTTTCCAGGAATCATGTCTGCAACAACTGGCTTGAGTTGCAGCATTGCTCTCGCATGTTGCGTTTATCCACCTTTGTCCTACCTTCTGTCCTCAGGGGCCCCTTGCTCTTGGCGGAGTCTCTCCACCACCTCCGACAAATCAGCTTCAAGCTGAGCAGCCTGGGACACCTGCGTCTAGCCGAATGAGATGTTCTACGACTGTGTCGTCTCTCTCTCTCTCTCTCTCTCGTGCGTTTCATGTTACTACTAGTAAGGCACCTGTTACTACTAGTGATGCACTTGTTACTAGTAGCTTCTTGTTACTACTAGTAAGGCACCT